GAGAAGTGAATTTCGTTACCATCAGAACTAATGATTCCACTTCTATTGGATTGCGGTCATTGGATGATCTCTAGAATGGGGCGGGGGAAGCCGATCTGCATCTAACACTTCATAGCATGCCTCACATAAATCAAAATCTGGACAAACAGTGCAATGCCATCTCCGCCTTAGTATTGGAACGGTGGAGCAACCATCACAACAGTACTGAACAGATGAAGTAATAGAATCATCTTCAACCACTTGTGTATATCTGCCAGCTGCTCTCACCGGCATAGGGACAGATACCGCATTTTCTACCGCATCATCTGCCGCTAACATAGTTTGCTTTGGGAATGGGACCTGGAGCAATCTTGATGATATTGCCAAGCTACAAAGAACTATTAGTTAACACAATAAAAACACGATCAAGAAATTGCGCACATAGGACAAAAAGTACCTGCTGGAAGTTTTAACAGCCTCATTAGGGAAGAAAAGAAGTTTTCTCAATATTGTAACAGCAGGAGCTACGGAATGGCTCCCTGCATCCTTTCCGTGTGAAGCCAGACATTCAGCATAACTATAAATAAGCTCCACAGAGGACATCACAATGTTGTTCATAGTTTGAGTATCAGGTTGCTCTAATTCCAAAATTCCCCACAAGACTTGCATAAGCCCATCAACCACTTCTGAACCTGTATTAAAAAGTACAGTAAAGATTAATCTCAAATAATTCAAAATATAATAACAAGCAACTACCAGGCCGAATTGTCATCAAGCAATTAAATACTTTGTCCACAGATCAAAGAACTTAAGTCCAATTTGATTCTGTCAAGAATGGTTGATATATAACTTATTGGATATTACAGCCCTATGTTTTCTTGGACAAAAACAAAAAACAATTAATTATATAAGGTGTAACTTACTGTTATACTCTTTAATCTAATTAATCACATAAGGTATAATTGATTATTACACCCTTTGACCTAATCTGTCATCTCTAATACTTCCCCTCAAGCTGGGATATAAATGTTGTTCATCCTTAAGTTGCCAATAAGAGTTAGGGATACTGGATTACTTAAACTTTTAGTCAATACATCTACCAGTTGAAAATTTATAAGCATGTATAGTTGTATTAGACTACTATCAAGTTTTTCTTTGATAAAATATCTATCTACATCAATATGTCTGGAGATTTTGCATCGGATTTTGTGCAATACGTATGGCTAACTTGTAGTTGCAGTATAACCGCATTGAGTTTTCCCTCTTGACTCCAAGATCTTCCAAACTTTTTCTTATCCATATTAGTTCACATATCCCTTGAGACATTACTTGAAATTCTCATTTTACATTTAATTTCACAACTACATTTTACTTCTTATTTCTCCAGGTGACTAGGTTACCTCAAATAAAGTACAATATCTTGTGATAGACCTTTACAATTGACCCTGCGTAATCCATATCAATATAAGCTTCTAGGAGCAGTTCATCACTCTTCTTGAACACAATTCCTTTTTCAAGTGATCCTTTTAGGAATGTAATATTTTGAATGCTGTTTATAGGTGCACTTTTTTCAAACTATGTATGAATTAATTTATAACACTCACTGCATAGGTAACATATGGTCTCGTGTGGGATATGCGTATCAATCTCTCAAGTAATCTAATATATTTCTTTGTCTATTAGTGTATCTTCTTCTGCTTTTGGCAGTTTATGATTAGGATCAATATAAGTACTATCTAGTTTGCATGCTAATTTAGCAGAGTCCCTCAATAAGTCATGAATGTATTTCTATTGAGAAATAAAAGTTCTAAATTTTGAATAGACAACTTCAATTGCTAGAAAATGTTTCAAGCTATCAAGTTTCTTGATCTCAAATTCCTTTACAAAACACCATTCTAGTATTAAGTTTTTTTTCTCATCATCTCTTGTTATGATAATATCATCAACATATATTAAGCAAACTGCGACTCCTCTTGTTTCTACGTGCTTGATAAATAGAGTATGATCTCTTTAAGCCTACTTAAATTCTAAATCCATCATCACCTTTGCGGACTTGCCAAACTATGTTCTTAGTGCTTGCTTGAGTATGGACAAGACTTTCTTTAGATTACACACTTTATTTCTTCCTATTTCTTTATCAAAACCTAGTGCAATATCCAGGTAGATTTCTTCTTCTAGATCTTTATGCTGGAAGACATTTTTTACATCAAATTATCATAATTGTCAATTTAGTGAATAGCTAGTAACAATAAGATTTGCATAGTGTTAATCTTGGCTACTGGTACAAACATTTCCTAGTAATCTATCTTATATGTCTGTGTATAATCCTTTGTCACCAATCTCATTTTATATCTCTCAAATTGTCTCATTTGTTTTATATTTGATTGTAAAGATCTGTTTGCATATCACTGGTTTCTTGTCTTTGGATAGATCCCCCATTTCCATGTCTGGTTTTTTTTTCAGTGTTTACATTTCTACATTTATAACATTTTTCTGTTTTTTACAAGATAATATCTCGGATATTGTGTTAAGAATAGACTCAATATTTAAATTTATAAGGAAATTTTTATGTGATGATAAACACTTATCAAATAACACTAACTGTGCGATAGAATAAAAAAAGGTATTCAGTGTATTCTCTTGTATGTTAATGAAGTGCAATAGGTAGATCATTATCGGACTATATAAGTTTTCTAGAACTTACCTTAATTCCAAGATCAAAGTCATATTCTTGAACCACTTAGTATTCGACATCTTCCTCCTTATATACACTAGAGAAAACTTAGGGTCTTATATGATCTCTTGAGTTAGTGAATGTCCTGGTAGATTTTGAAAGTTCTCTTATGATGATGATGTTAGGGTTGTGGCAATAGTGGTAGGACAAAGTCTATTAAGAATTTTGTATCTTTATTTTCTAATATAGGCTCATTCAAAAGGTAAGCTTCGGTGATGTAGGATTTTTATTCAACAAACTTAACATCCATAAACACATTTTTTTGAATAGGCAGCTAGTAACATTTGAACCCTTTGGAGAGAGAGAACATCCGACAAATACACATTTTAGGACCTAGAGATCAAGTTTCTCTCCTTTTTTAGAGAAGAAATGAATATATGAGTTTTTTTTTACACCTGTACCCGTGTGCTTTTCAAGGTCATCCAAACAACCCCACATCCATTTAGAAGCAATGAGACTAACAAGTGTTTTGTTTTCTTGCTGGTCACTGACATGAACCTGTTTGGGAATCTCTAGTGATGTATTTTTGTATCCCCACTCTTTACTTGAACCACTGGACTTGAACACTGCACTTTTCTTTGGTATGTTGGCAAAAAGTATATCAGAGATTGTCTCTACTATTTATTCCTAGGGTTGAGTTCTCAAAGTGACTCACCTTCTTTGTTTGCTAGTGGGGTTTGGAACCTCATGAGATCAAGATTAAATTATCTGCAGGATGAGATTCTAGCATAACCCGTCTTTTACTCTCTTCTGTTGTTACAATGGAATGACCTCATTAAGCAATGAC